CCTAGAGTTCTTGTCTCTCCTGAGAATCCTCAGCCTGAAAGAGCCAGGTCCTGTCTCCACCCTGCCTTTGTTATGTCCAGATCGTGACCCCCAGAGGGACCACCAAAGACGAGCATGCCAGAATGCAAAGGCAAGGTTTAATTCTGGATACCCAAAAGCAATACAAGCCTAGGCAGGGACTTCGTCCAATACATCCAACGCAGTGGAGGCTGGAGGAAGCGCCCACCTGTCTGCAAGCTCAGTTTTTAAAGGGAAAAATCACAAGGTTACATCATTTAGGGGTTCTAGTATGGGTACAATTCTGATTGGCTCGCTTCTAGAAATCATAGCTTAATCTTACTTCTAAGGGAGTGGTTGCCCGCCACCATTTCTCATTGGCTGCCCTCAGGTGAGGGCATTTCTGTGGTCAGTTACCCTGGAAACCAGGGAGAGGACATTCCATAGTCCGGCAGGCATTACCTCGTGACTACCTTGTGACTCTGTACTTTTACACTTCCTGGTTTCTGGAATCTGAACTGACTGGTTTCAGTAACTAATGGCCTATTCCCAAAAGGAGAAATCTTAGGCCTTAATTTTAGGGTGGAAGCATTTTGGTCTTATTTCTAAGATGGCTCATTTTGGTCTCACACCTGATCATTTCCACTCTCTGCCCCGCCATATCACTTCCTGTTTCCTCCTCCCAAGTGCTGGGATTAAAGGTGTGTGCCACCACTGCCTGGCCTCTCGTGGCTAGTTCCGTACTCTGATCTTAAAGCAAGATTTATTTGTTAAAGCGCAAACAAAACATTACCACAGACTATTTTAAACTGAATGAAAATACAGTTTATTGCAATTTGTTTGGTATACCAGAAACAGAGGCAGGGAGGAATCTGCACCATGAACAGCACATTCGAGAAAACAGAAGCCTGACCATACAGGGGCCTGCAGTCCCAGCATGCACTTGGGGAGGGGGGAGGAGAGGGGGAGGAGTATAGGGGAGAAGGCTAAGGATGTAAGCCTTGCTTCGTATGCCCAGAGCCACCAGGGGTTTGGTCCCCACTGTGACACTGACTGGACATGGGAGCACAGGTCTGTTATCTCAGCATTCGGGAGTTCATACCTCGTCTACACAGCATGTTTGAGACCCGCCAGGGCTCCATAAAATCCTGTCTACAAACGAACAAAAACAGCCAAACCAACTGATCGGAATGTAAGCCAGCCCAAAGCCAGCAAAAGAAGAAAAAAAAAAAGTGAAAATGACATGGGAAACGGGAAAGTGATAGAGAAATCCGGGCTCTCTGAAAAGACAAAGCAGCCCTCTCTCCTGGTTAACCAAGAAAAAAAAGATGCAAGTCATTAATACCAGAAAGGGAAGAGAGTTCATCAGTCCTGACCACAGCAGGATGACACAGGATGATTTCCTGTGTGTGTGTGTGTGTGTGTGTGTGTGTGTGTGTGTGTGTATGTGTGTGTGTGTGTTATATGCGTACCATGGCCTGCATATGTAGGAACCAATTCTTTCCTTCTACCACTCGGGTCCTGGGGATCAAACTCAGGTCATCGGGTGCTGAGATATATATGAGGAATGTCACAAACAGTTCTACACTTTCAACCTCAGTGTAGAAGAAATGGGCCTTGGCCACGAGTGGTACCTCACATCAATCACCCCAGCTCTCAAGAGCGCGAGGAAGTATTATTCAGAGTCAGCCTGGGACAAATAATGAGTTCCAGGCCAGCCTAGGCTATAGAGTAGGACCCTATCCCAGACAAAGAAAACAAGAAAAGGGGAGAATGAAGGGAGCAACCAGTTCCTTGGAAGATATCATCTACCAAACCTCATTGAAAGACAAATCAATGGGTAGCCACATGACTATTTTGAAAATTGCAGGACCAATAGCCATCCAAAAAAGAAGACATCAAACGCAAGTAGTTTTATTGGTAAAGTCTAACAAGTAGGCCAGGACGAAATAGTTCCACTTCTCTTCTCAAAAGCTGGAGGAATCTACTTCATCTGTGAGCTGGCATTGTTAGTGAAGTCTAACGCCGGGATGTTCGTGTTAATCCCCAATCTTAACGCTATCGCAGAGTTGGTTAGGATGTAAGGGATCCTCCCTTTTGGCTGGAATTAGGCCTTTAAAAATGGGCTGGGAATGTGGCTGCGTTGGTAGAGTGCTTGCCTAGCATGCATGAAGCCATGTGTTCAACCCCCAGCACCACGTAAACCAGACAAGATAGCAAGTACTTGAAACTCCACCAGGAAGGTCAGAAGCTCAAGGTCATCTCCTTGACTACAAAGAGAGTTCTAGGTCAGCTACTCTGCAGGCAACCCTGCCTCAAAAAGGGATTTCACACCATTGTGGAAATTAATATGGAAGTTTTTTCAAAAACTAGAATGACCCAGCTATATATAGTTCCTGGGCATATACGGAAGGAGTCTCTATTCTGCCACAGAGACACTTGGACACTCGTGGTCATTGCTGCTCTACTCACAACAGCAAGTAAAAGGAATCAGCCTCGATGTCCATCAACAGACTAGTGGATAATGAAAATTTGGTAGGTACACACAAGGGAATTTTATTCAACTATAAAGAAAAACGAAGCTATGAAATTTGCAGGGAAATAGATGGAACTGGAAAATATTTATTTATATTTATTCATTCGTTCTGGGAGGTGAACGTGTGGAGGTTGGAGGACAACTTTTGAGAGTCAGTTCTCTCCTTCCACCATGTGGGTCTTGGACATCAAACTCGGGGATCAAACTTGGCTGTCAGGCTTGTCACCCAGGCCTGAAAACTACACTAAGGGAGGTAACCCAGGGCAGATCGACAAATAGTACATGTCTCTTTCACATGTGTATCCTTTTTTTGGTTTTTAGAGACAGGGTTTCTATGTGGCCCTGGCTCTCCTGGAACTCACTCTGTAGACCTGGCTGGCCTCAAACTCAGAGATCCTCCTGACTCTGCCTCTGAGTGCTGGGATTAAAGGCATGCGCCACCACCGCCCAGCTCATACGAGTATCCTAACTTCTAATTTGTGTTTGTGTATTTATATGGAAGTGAGTGTGAGTAGAAACTAGAAAGAGGCCCATGAAAGGAGAACAAAGGCTTTAAAGGGGGGAGTGAGAAGGGTAATAGAATACATGTGATGTGAAAGTAAAGGCAGGAATACAAGGGATGGAAGAAGAAAAGGAGGAGAATGCCAGTGCTGGAGGCGGGCTGTAGCTCAACGGAAGGAGAAGTGTTTACCACACGAGTCCTTGTGTTCAATGCCAAGCACCAAATGAATAATGGAGGGAGCACGCCAATACAGTGACAGAGAGCGGAGAACTTTGGAGCTGTCCTTCACAATGGGGGGGATGGAGAATTTGGGGGCTCTCCTTCACAATGGGGGGATGGAGAACTTTGGGGCTCTCCTTCACAATGGAGGGGGATGGAGAACTTTAGAGTTGTCCTTCACAATGGAGGGGAATGGAGAACTTTGGAGAATTTCTCCTTGTGGCTCAGTTTTGCTGTAAACCTAAAGTTGTCCTCTCCAAATGCAATTTATTAGTTTTTTTAAAAATGGGGTTAGACCTGGAGAGACAGCTCAACTGTTAGGAGTACCTACTGCTCTTGCAGAGGACCTGGGTTTGGTTTCCAGCATCTAAATGGTGTCTCACAACCATCTATAATTCCAGTCCCAGGGATCTGCCACCACAACATGCATGGGGCACACATACATTCATGCAGGCAAATGCTTGCACACATAAATCTTTAAAATTTTTAAATAGGATTGACTCATTAACATAAAATGAAAAACCTCTAGAAAATCTCTAGGCAAAAAAGCCACATGGTGAGTCAGGCATGGTGTCGAAGTGGGTGAGAGGCAGACGCAGGAGGATCAATAGTTAAGACTAGCCTCAGCCGCAGGGTGGATTCCAGGTAGCTTCAGCCACAGGAGACCGTGGTGGTGTGGGGGGCCTCACGGTCAGGTGGAGGTTTTAGATAAAGTTGTCTGGTGGCTGCATGGAGCGGGCAGAGTCAGGGATATGTGCAAAGCTTGGCATCAGAGGGTAATACAGGGCCCAAGCAGAAGATGCTGGCAGCCTGCAGGAGAGGAGGAGGGGGGGGAGGAGGAGGAGGAGGAGGAGGAGGAGGAAAGGTTGAAAGACCCTGAGGGTACCAAGTAGGTAAGATGGGAAATCGTGGCCTGATGAGCCTCAGTTTTCCAGCGTTAGTGTCTGGGAGGACACTGTGTGCTGGGCTGACATGTGTCTCACTGCACCCAGTGTAGGCTGCTCTTGAGGTAGATGCCTCCCCGTCCTCAGCTGTCTGCATTTGGTCACAGCAACTGTCAGTGGAACTTGACCTGCTTCCTACCTGGAAGAAATCACAGGCTGTGATAAGGTAGAGTAAGGGAACGGCTTAGGGCTACTTGTTTTCTTTGAATAGTTCTGCTTAAAAGAAATTCACTCTATAATGAATGGGATTCATCAAACTATGTTTCTGCCCTGGGACCCACATGGTAGGAGAACCAATTCCCACAAGCTGCCCTCTGAACTCCACTCATGAATGTTCCCTCCCCAAATATAGTTTAAAAAATAAATAGTCAAAAAATAATAATAATAAATAGCCAGATGTGGAGGCGCACACCTTTAATCCCAGCACCTGGGCGGTAAAGGCAGGCAGATTTCTGTGTGTTCAAGGCCAGCCTGGTCTACATACAGAGTCCCAGGCCAGCCAGGGCTTCACAACGGTGAGACCCTATCTCAAAATAGTTAAGATATTCTTACAACACAAATTTCTATTTTAAAGCTCATCCGCCAGTTGTGGTGTTAATATCTGACAACACACTTAATTGGAAATCAAAGTCCAAAGGTCAGAAACTCAGCTTTCACCCCCAGAGAGAACAAAAGCAGCCACCTGAGGGTGGCAGCAGCAGTTTAGGTCCAAGAGTTCCCGAACATTTGCTGCGCTGGTGGAGGTCGACAGTGTAGTGGGCGTCACAAAAACCTGTGCCCGTGCCTGGAGACACCAGAGTCCTCAGCGGCAGACACAGGAGCAGAGAGCCAGGTGAGAAGGCCATCTGTCATCCCAGGTTTAGAAGTTCCATGTGGTTCACGGTTGGGCAATACTGGGTGGCTGTGTGTGTGTGTGTGTGTGTGTGTGTGTGTGTATAATTATGTGTGTGGTGTCTATGATGTGTGTGTGTCCCACCCTCTGGGCCACACCTCCCCAGTCCTGGTCACCTCCTGTTGGCTTACCATAAACTTAAAGGTCTGGTTTCCACCAGGGTTGAAATATGTAGTTTCTTTCCATCTGTTAGCTTGGGGGGTCGGGGAGATGGACCATGCAGGACTGGCTGCTTCTGGAAGGCACGCCCCTCTCTTAGGGAGGTCGCCACCTGGGCTGACGCATGCGCAGCCCAGACCCTCGATGGCTCTGCCTCCTGTTTGCTGTGATCCCAGGCAGGCGCTCTGCAACACATTCCTCACTCGGCATGTGCGCCCGCCCTGCACGGAGGCAACCCAACGTGTTAACATCAGTGATGGATTGCGTAGGAATAATTTTATCCGCCAACGGAAGCCTGCCCAGCAGTGGCTCTCCTACCTCAAAACCAAGTCCACACCTCCATAATCCCCACAGACACAGTCACTGCTCAGAGCGGTTACCAAGAAGGGACCCCTGAGCCTCTCTGCCTTCCTTGGTGGTCTTTGTCCTTACACTTGTCATCTCAGGGGCAGCAACAGAGGATGGGGCAGAGGACAGGAGGGAGGGGTACGGGAGCAAAAGTTCTTGAGCAGAGGCTTTGGAGTGGCTTTCACCTACATCTCTTTGGCCATCTCCACTTACCTACAAGGGGACAAAGGGACAGAAAGATCAAGTTACCAAAGAGTCTGGAGAGGGAGTGGGGATGGGCACCTTAAAAAAGCATGGAGGTTAAAACGTGAGCACGTGCTTAGCCTACATGAGCAAGACCGTGGGTTCAGGAGAAATAGGGCGGCGGGGGGGGGGGGGGGGGGGGGGGCGAGGAAGCCACACACAGGGTCCCGTTTGTTTTTTATTCATTTTACATACAGGGTCCCATTTTAAAGTGGGTTTTTCTGGTCTGTTTTTTGACAGCCTAACAAGGAAAATGATACCTGTAGACAAAACTTCACCTAAGTAGATGAATTAAGATACAGCTGTAGCCATGAGTTATTTTTTTTTTTTAAGATTTATTTATTATGTATACAGAAGAGGGTGTTAGATCTCATTACAGATGGTTGTGAGCCACCATGTGGTTGCTGGGAATTGAACTCAGGACCTTTTGAAAAGCAGTAGGTGCTCTTAACCTCTGAGCCATCTCTCCAGCCCGCCACGAGTTATTTTTAAGCCAGTTCCCGGCATGATGATAAGAATTTCTAATGGAGGGCAAGCAACAGGGTCAAGAATAATTTCACCTACTTTTTCTTTTTCTTTTCCTTTTTTTTTTTTTTTTTTGGACAGAGTCTTGCTGTGTAGTCCCGGCTAGACTAAAACTTGCAATCCTTCTGCCTCAACCTCCTAAATTCTGGGATTACAGGTGTGCATGCCTGGCTCTTGCTACATTTTTGTCCTGATTGGTCTATTACGTAAGTCGGGAGTTGGCGTTGAAATCAGGGTTTGTGTGGAGCACTTTTCACTGAAGTGTTTTGTCTCCATCTGGTGGACAGTGCTGGCTTTGCAAGTCAGCAGCGCTCTTCCCCAGAGCAGTTCAATCAGAAGGGCGACAACAGGATCCAAGATCTAAGAAACAAAAAAGGTAGGCACAGTGGCACACGCCTTCAATCCCAGCACTTGGGAGGAGGTAGAGACAGGCAAATCTCTGTGAGTTCGAGGCCAGCCTGGTATAAACAGTAAGACCTTGTCTGAGAGAGAGAGAGAGAGAGAGAGAGAGAGAGAGAGAGGGAGAGAGAGAAAGCAAGGCGGCAAGATGGCTCCGCCAGTAATGTGCTTGCTGTCAAGCCCAAGGACCTGGGTTCATCCCCCGGGACCCACATGGGGGGGGGGCATCTCTGACCTCCACATTGGTGGTGTAGCGCCTCGTACACACAATTAAAAAAAAAAAATTTTTTTTTAAAGCTATGGGGCTTGCTGGCCAGACAGCATGACCTAACCTGGGAACCCCAGGACAATAAAAAATGCTTTTAAAAACGAGGTGGAAAGCACCTGAGGAATGACACTGGAATAGCTCTGACAAACATTCACATGAACACACCCCATTACTTTAAAATATTAAAATAATTAACATTTCATAATTGATCACAGAGTCCCAAGAGATGAACAAGGCGGGAAGACAGATGAAGTCCCTAGTGGGAGAGACGCCAAAGTCGTCCTCCAGCCTCCATGAGTGAAGCGGTGTGTACATGTCCATATGCGCCACAAAACTACAGGGGAGAGTCCTTGAGGTTTTGTTTGCTTTCTTAAACACAGATTCTTCCTCCATAGCCATCGCTGCCCTTGGCTCTCATGACTCACATCCCAGCTGCCGGGATGACAAGCGTGCACAGCCAGACCCAGTCGGGGACAAACTCCAGGGTTTGTGTTTCTCACCTCAAATGTGTACCAATATCCCAAGACACATCCATGTGAACTTTAGAGAAACTGATGATGCTCATCTTTGTATATGCCAACCATTAAAGAACCCTAAATAAACGAACCCTCAACTGCTCTTTTAGAATATACTTCTTAGCCACATGGTAGCACAGGCCTGTAACCTGAGCACTCGGAAGGTGGAGGCAGGAGGTCAAGGGATTGAGGCCAGCCTGAATTCCGGGTCAGCCCTCATAGAAAAGTATCTCAGTTTGGCCACACCTCCACCCTCTTAGAAACAGGATCTCAATGTTATGGTCCGGGCTAGTTGGGAATTCACTACATAGACCAGGCTGGCCTCAAACTCAGAGACCTGCCTGCCTCTACTTCTGCTGGGCACAAGCCACCCCACCAACTCCATTTGCCTTTATTATTTTTGAGACAGGGTCTTGCTGTGAGGTCTAAGAATAAAATCTCCACGCTCCCCTTGTTTGAAGGCTTCTCATAACATCCACGCTCTCCCTGCCTGATAGGCATGACCTGGTTGGGAACTCGCTGCATCTGGTTACAATCGTAGTATGTCAGTTTCCACGTTCTTAGAACTTTACCCTTCGAGTCTTCAGACTTGGAGTTACCGAAACATGGAGATCCCGTTGCCTGGACACGCACAGTTGGTTTGTTATGTTGCCCTGTCTTTACCATCTTTTCTTCTTATCCCGTTATCTTGCTCATAGAACTCCCAAGATTCCTAATGATTTTCTGTGTTTGTGACCATGTTGCCCGAGAACAGTTTGGCATTTTCCCAGTGCCTTGCTGCACTGCCCAGGCCCTCAGACACAAGTCTGACTGGAGGTGTGCAGTCGGAAGAGTTCCTGTGTCTTGGCCTGCTGACCATGGGGACAAATCTCTCCCACTCGCGTCCCCCAAGTAAACACACAGAGGCTTGTCTTCATTATAACTGCAAGGCCATGGCTCAAGCCTTTAGCTAGCTAGCTCTTACATCTTAAATTAGCCCATAACTATTCATCTATGTATCGCCACGTGTTCCGTGGCTTTACCTGCGTCCCATTGCATGTTGCTCCTTCAGCGGCTGGCTGGCGTCTTTCCCTGCCTTCTTCCTGTCTCTCTCTTTGAATTTCCCGCCTGCCTCTAAGCTGCCTTGCCATAGGCCAAACGGCTTTATTATCAATCAATCAGAGCAACACATATTTGCAGCATCCAGAAAGACATTCCCTCATCAGAGGTGTTCTCATGAGGGCCTTAGGAGAAGTGTCTGAACTCTTTCATTAAATGCTGGCTGTATCGATTTCATATTGTCCCCTAGTGGGGCGAAGGTGGGCTCTTCGCTTGCTGATACTTTTGTCATAAGCTCCCTAAAATGCTCTTACTAATCTACTGGAATGACCACATGCTGTTTGACTCTGCATTTTGTTACTATGATAAATAATAATACTAATTGAACAGAGAAGGTTCCCTTCTGTCCCCTAGAATATTCATGTAAAACTGCTATAGTTTCCTGCTCTAATGAGTGTGTCCACTGGGAAGAAGAGTTGTAACTATGAACTCACCCTCTGATAACAGATAATCAAACCTCCAATTTCTTTTCATCGGTCTGGGTGACTTGGTTTTGTGTCAACAACACTGCTCAACAAGAGTTTGGTCTCCAACACCGAGCTCCCATTTTACAGAAGCTATGGATTTGTAAGGGTTTGAAACTGAGCTGCTGTAGCAAACAAGATACCCACATATGCACATGTTTGTGTATGGACACAAACATACACGAATCCACTGCTTTCTGCAACAGGATAGCAGAAGCGAGAGATCCTGTCAGACCCGAACCCTGAGGGGAGGCTGAGGTGGGCACCACTGCACACAAACTACAAAATCATCCAGCACACCGAGTTTGGGTTCAGGAGATTTATTGTAAACAGGACAACCCTGGGACCCCACCATCCTGGCAGTATCACATGCTCTTACACATCAACTGTAAAAAGACTCTTCTAAGTCTCTGATAACATGACTTTTTCACAAATCTCACTTGCTAAGCGTGAGTAGATGGCAGTCTCTGGGCAGTCTGTTCTAGTTCATGGACCACAACCTGGACCCGCTGAGATGAGCCTGTCAGGATGCCAAGTGACACTTACAGGAGCTCTGAAGCACACTCAACACCACGTGCAGGTTCATGGAGGATGACATGGGATTGTTTTCCAATCGCTTCAAGGGCCTTTTCTCATATCAAAGGCATGCTTTTAACTGTACCCATCTTTTTAAAAAGAGCTAAGTTACTCGACGGCATGTAATCATTTACAGAAAAGGTAGCAGACTGTTATTTGCTTTTACAATGATGGATTCAAACACTCAGGACTAGTGTTGGATTTGTCTTGTATATGTTCTGCAGTTCGATGAAAAGCTGCATAGTCAAGTTGGGCGGGGTGGCGCACGCCTAATCCCAGCCCTTGAGAGGTGGAGGCAGGAGGATCAGCAGTTCAAAGTCAGCCTTGGCTAGTTGGCCAATTGCTCAGACGAGAAGGAAATGGTGACTCAGACCTTCTGATGGGACGGACAAGGACGGGATTTTCACCGGGAGACTCTTAAGACGCACGGACAAGAGACGTCGCAGCACCACGGGAGAGCGGCCTCCACAGCCGCCCAAGTCCACAAGTTATGTGGAAAATGGCAAACAGGAAAACTTAAGCTGTGAACAGCCAAGACTCTAGAGCAGAAAATCCTGGCAAATGAAGTCATAGGGGGCAGTAAAACGTCACTTGGAAACGCCATTCCGTACCTTGCCTGAGTCAGCGGACAAACAGGAGTACTTTCTATCTCTATTGCCGGGGTGTGGAAACAGCCGCGCCTGCTCTTGAAGCAAGCCTTAATAATAGCAAATATTTTAAAACAGCTGTCAAATCTACATTTTCACCTAAAATAGTATCTTGTGAAAAAAATATGTTTTAAAAGTCCACTCCAGTCATCATCTGTATGTTTATATTCATATATTCAAAAAAATAACACTTAAGGCAAGATGAGACCGGAAGCAGCGAGGGCGTTTAGAGTCTGAAGGAGACTGGCTATTTAAGGACGTAACCGTTTTGTATCTCCAAAGAGGTGGCTTTGTATTTGCTGCCTTTTGAGACCCTAAGGGGCAAATGATTTAGTTCACACACTGATCGCAATTTCACCCTAGCAATTACGGGGAGTTACAAGAGCTGATGTTAGCCCAGCATGTCTCACACGCTATACAGCAGCAAGCATCTGCTGACGGAACACCACAAACCAACTACAGAAAAACAGAGATGTCAACAGAATTCAATGAGAGAGAACCCACAGGAATCCTGAGAAATTCCCAACTTGATGTAAGGTTAATCTGTGTTTCTAGCACTGTAAATCGGGTGTTCTAGGGCTTTCCAGCATTTGGCTAAGAAGATTAAAAAACATACCCAAATTTTATAAAAACATTAAAACCATGCCTTAGATAATCAGCACGTTCACTAATAAAAGAAAATGACATTGCTTTGTGCGTTACCTGCCAAATGTAATGTTTTCGGTTGATTTATAGGAAACTATCAAATAGAAAGCAGATTTGAAGATCGGTTCTTTAAAAGGTAACCCTTTCTAAATGTTTTTGAAACCTTTTAGAAAAAAACTCTTATTATCTTCAGACAAGTGACTATTTTACAGAATAAGGAAGAAAGATTCTATTGGGATATCTTTCTTCAGGTTAAACAGTTAATATAAGGGAATTTCTCTGAGGACTAAAAAGGAAAAAAAATTAGGATATTTAAGAGGCATGTGTTTTAAAAATATTCTACATCTATAAGATTTTATAATTTTATTACTTTGGGTTTTTAACATTTCTACATAATAACGTCTGGTAACTCTTTTCTGTTTGTCTGTCTAATAGCAAGCCAGGAACTACTCAAGTGGTTAAGATTGCTTTCCCAGGCCTAGGAAGACACAGGAACGTATCCATTCTCTTCAGAGTTTTGCAGCCATGAAGTTAATATGTGGTTTCACAAGGGGAAACAGTGGCAGACCACGCTTGAACTCTGTCATGTTATGAACCACTTCGGGCTGAAAAGGAAAAGAAAAGTTTTCTTTAGTGTGTTTAATTTAAAAACTAGACTGGACAGCCTATCAGCTGTTGGGGGAGGAGGCTAAGGTGGCGGGTGGGGGCGGTGTTTATAATAATGAAATACCCATCTACCACAATCACGCCAGAGGGTCACGGATGAGTGGGCCAGAAGATTCCTGGCTTTCACAGGGCATACGTGTGCTGACTCAACCACCCAGCAAAGGCCTGATGACATCGCCCATTTTCTCACCCTTTAAGTAAATGCTGGTATGGAAAGGGGCACGCACACACTGTCACTCCAGAAGTCAACTCGGGGAAAGGGGTGGCGCAGAGTGACGCAGTCCAGGCCAGAGGCACAGACAGGAGGAGCAAGAGCACAGAGCACCCCTGCATTCCTAGTACTTGTGGGACTGGGGCGGGAGGTTAGGAGTTCAAGGCAGCTTCGGCTACACAGTGAGTTCCAGGCCAGCCTGATCTACATGACCCCAAAAACCAAACAGAGGCCAAGGCAGACCAGGGCTGAGGCCGAGAGATGGGACCTTCGAGAAGACCTGAAGTAGCTCCGACACTAGTGACTGAACCTCCAGGTTTTCATGCGTTCTGGTGAACAAGCGCCTTCAAGTCCTCAGACAATGCCTAAAGTTTCTTACTTGTGGCAAGGCTGGTGCTTCTGACAAGTTTATATCATTCTGAGAGGGGAATTCTCCAACAACAGGACCTGGAAGGAAACCAAAGCGTTACTACATACTCACACTTGCAACAAGAGCTATTTAAAAAAAAATACTAAGCTAGACTTTGTTCACTTAAAAAACAAACCACACCAGGCCCTTTACACACTTTTCAGATCCTCCCAAGCTGCTTGCTGCAAGGCCGAGTGCCTGTCCCAGCACCGCCCCTGATGATGTCACTGAGTCCATACAGCCCCGAGTGCCTGTCCCAGCACCCACCCCTGATGATGTCACTGAGGCCCTACAGCCTTGGCCTCAGCAGCTCTAGTGCTCAGGTCTGACGTAGACTCTGAGGCTGACCTCCTGAGGAAGCGAGAGGAGATTGTGCAGCCACTTTGGAACGGTGCCCAGATTGCACCGTCACCTGGTACGGGCTTTCTCCTCCACCACTCCATCCCCCCCCCCGAGTGACTCGGTGAGGGACAGCCATCACACGGCTCAATAACAGACTAAAAATGGAATTTTTAAAGGTCAGTATCCAATACTTACAAGAATCCATTTCCCTGGCAAGAACATGGACGGACACTTTATGTCTTCTTGGTGCATCCACGGCCAACATTTTCTAAGCACAAAGAAAACCAAGGTCACCCTCATACCCTATT